GTGGTGGCAGCGTTGGCGCTGGCGCCGCCTGCGACATATTGGTCACCTGCAAAAGAAAAGAATCACTTCAATCTGTGATCGTCGCAAATAACGAGCTAATGTATTTAGGGCTAAACATTATCGCCGACAAAACGGTAAAGGAATCTCTAATAAAGGAAATCCTTCCACTTAACCTGGGCATTTTGAACTTATGTGATCGATACTTCTTTCCTATGCCGGATAGGTTTGTATGGTGGAATCTTTATTACGGAAAGAAATTCAAAATTCACAGGTTGTCGAAACGTCAGGCGTAATAAAGATTCCACTCATACAAGCCTGTCCAGTTTCTTTTGTTTTTTTTTTCTTTAGCATTGTGCTTACAGCATGACCTAATGGTTCCAAGCTCTACAACCTGTGAAAGCAGATCGCGGGCGCTGCCTTTAGTGGCGTAACAGACACAAATGGCCTTTGTGCAGTAGCGGTTACATAGGTGCACTGATCAGAGGAGTTATTGAAATGGAAGAAATGGCAGATTACTAGCCTACAATTACTAGGTTCGTAATGTTATTTGGGCGTTATTAACACTACCTCATTCCTCGAAATTAGTTATTGCTTGAAAGTTTGTCAGTAACCCTGAGGGGAGGCTAGCTTCAGTGAACTTTCAAGACATACGAAAACAAAAGCTTTCCGCGAAGCTGTGAACGAATTTCACCCCTGGGAGCCGTCAATTGGATGCCATGCTCAGTTCCACGGAAGTTGGATCTTCTTCTCCAGGTTATACGACAAGATGGACGAAATTGTGCATTTGAAAATGTGGTGCAGATAGATCCTTATTGTTGCAATGCAGCTACACTACATAACCTGGACAAAGGAGAGGGCGTGGCTACGCAGTTTTTCGAACAGGTAGTAGGAAGCGTTTTGTGACATATTTCCCTTTTGGACACCTATATATTGCCTTTGCTCGACAATGACATGAACTGAATTGCCCTATAACGACAATATCTTACCAAAAGCGGCCGTCACTTTGAAAGGGAGCATGTGATCACGCCCCTCCATCTTCGCAATACTAGGTGTAAGTGGGTGCAGCGAGCGGCGTCAGGAGCGCCTTACTAGGACCTACTTGATGCAACTCGATGGTACTGCAGTATATCGAGTCACCCGTGTAATTTGCCCGAGTTCCCCAGCACCCAAGTTTGTCAGATTCTGAGCCAGAAGCAAAGCATTAGGCCTGTGCGGATCAAACCCGACTCTGCGCTTACTTGGCTGATCAGCTTGGGAAATCCGGAAATCCAAACAAAAAAATCACAGGTACTGCAAAGGATCAAAACGGAATGCTCTCAGGTGCCGGGCTTTCTACTTGTATCAAAATTACTATATCATTAACTGAATATAACACTGAATCGAATTCCATACTATTTCAAAGCTTTTGGTTTTCCAAACTGAATGAATGATTTCCAGAGAAAAGAAGCAACTAACATTAGTAATATTCGGAGGTGGCAGACTCAGATCAGGCATCGAAGCACTTGCATGAACAGGAAATGCCGGTGGCATTGGCGGCGGCACAGAACTGATCACAGGTGGAGGCGGTACATTTGTAGGTGGAAAAGGCGGTGGGACAACAGCTGTCATTGTGCTGAAATGTGCAGAATTTGACAAAGAGCACAACATTTGTGTCGCAGTTCGGCGACTGGGGAGGTGTGTGGGCATACAGTACAATCTTGCTGCTTCAGTAGTTCCGCTTTACAAGACTACTCTGGTTCTGTACTCTTGGTGAGCTGGAGTAAGCTTGTACGGCCACCATAGTGAAACTTGTCTACTCAAGTAAGCTCACAAAGGGGCTCGCTATATGGTCGAAACGTTGACGGAAAGCAGCAAAAGTGCAAAATGCCCTTGCTCCCGTCGCTAAACTGCCCCCATATTGTCAATAATCCAACTTGATAAAAAGCATGCCGTGTTTGGTAAAAAAAATAAGGGAATCATGAGAGAAAACGTCATTGCCTCTAAGAGCACAACGCTACTTTACTAAAGGACTAGTGACAGAAGAAGGCCTGCGAGAGCAACTACTCGCAATAGGGTTTTTCAACTTGGTAACCCCTCCTTTTTCCAGGCTAAGTTCGCCGAAACAGCAATATGGTCCATGTTACACAATGCAAAATCGTCGAATCGCGGATTGTCACATTCCCCACAAGACGCCTGATCGTTACTCGTGTCGCCTTTGGCGCGACTTTCCGAAAAGTCAAAATGCGAAATCTTTCAGTCTTGCAGTTCTCTCAAGTTGCTTTGTATGACCGCAGCCACTGGCCAGCAGAGGACAGGAGCAAGCAAAACAAACTGCTCACCTGTCGACACTTGGTTCGCGATTATTTGGCGATACTACTGGGTGAGGTGCTTCTTGAGCGGAACCTGCTATCCTTGTCGACGACATAGTGAAGTGACTATCAAGAAGTGAGTCCGATATAGCTGCCGGTATATTTGCTTCGGCTAGAATTCCACGCACCACACTTTCCTCACGTTCAAAGTCTTCCTTCATTTTTCTGAAAGAATTAAAAATGGCTATATTCAATTAATCATTGCAGGACAGGCCGAACGCGTGAGAATTCCCAACGTGGGACCATACTCGGGCAGTGGAGTGAGGGGGGAGGGGGTCATGCTGAGCCTGAGAAATTTTCTTTCTAGATTTGATTCCCTAGTTAGCGGTATCGCCAAAGTCCTATACAAGAACTATTAGGTTGTTCGAAAAGTCCTGCGACACTTTGACCAAATTTTTCGAACTAAATTTCTGGTCAGTAAAGGACATCTCCAATCTACAAGGTAACCGCAGTTGATGACTAGGACTAGTGCCTTTCTTTTGCACAGCTTCTCATTTCCATTCTCATAGAACTACGGCAACTGTGGTAAAAAGAAGAGGTGGACCTCATTCTCGAGTTGAGGTTGATTTTCGGAACTTTTGCTTTTTGAAGGATGCGATAGTGACCAAAGGAGGTGGTAATTAGAGGCTGCTAACTTTGTTAAATAACCTGAGTACGGTCGCATTCTCTGATCGAAATGCATGATCTTTTGGCGTAGCCTGATCCCCACAGCGGTCCTCGCATTACCGAGTAGTAGAGAAAAATTGAGTATTTCTGAATGAATTCAAGCGTGACGTCATCCATATTTTGAAGTCGATTAAGGTGGACTGTGGTCCTTACAACGGTGCTGGTATCCAGTGATACCGCTTTGAAGTCCCACCAATAACACACTGAAATCTTTATCCCATGCACATCTGCTTTTGGCTAAGCAATCTACTTTTCTTTTGAGAGATCCTGCGAGGGACATGTGCATGATGTACGCAAGGACTCCACCACTCGCTACCAACCACAAGATCTCACAAAAGTTCCTACGCTGTGTACAAGGAAAAGAAAACTCAGTCACGGTCATTCGGTATGACTTGTCAGACGGGTCCAACTCATGAGGCATCCTTCACAAAAAATTTTTTCCGATAACCGAGATTGCGGAGAAGCATGGCAGTTGTCAGTCAGATGGAGCCTGAGGTCCCCAACTTACCGGTGGTTACGTTCGGCTGCGCCTCAAGAAGCTTGAGTAAAGGGCCGTCATTCTGTGCTGATGGGCGACCTATACTGTGCCCTACTATCGATTAAATAAGTCCAGTGGAAGCCGGTGATCAAAAGCTACTCCTCCAATGCAAGCGATACCTTCTCCGTTGACTACGGCGGAGTGGCCCTACAGAACTCATAATATGGACAGTGTCAAAAGTACCTCGATCTCTGGGGACTTTTAAGCTTTGAAAACTTCCACAAAGTCATGATATACCCATGTGCAGAAACCCCAGAGGACAGTCTCCACTAATCAGGGATAAAAACATCCAAAGATTTTTGCCTTTTTCTAGAACAATTCAATCAAAGTGTCGCAGGACTTTTCGAACAACCTAATATTTTCGATCATCCAAAGTAGTAGTTGTTCGCTGTTGTTGGCTGCTTTGGAGAACTAGGAAAAAGCTTGTAGGCAGTAAGAAAATGTTTGTGAAATAGTAGGCAAGATGGCGAAGGAGGGGTCGCATAGCGGAACTGGCGAAAAGTAATTTTCAAAAATTTCCCCCAGAGACAGGAACTGCCTTGGAAGAATTTCTGAAAAAAAACTTTGGAATTGAACACCACACCCACAACATTTGAGATATACTCACTTGCACTTGTACAGAATGTTATCCTTTATAAGATCGGCTTCACGTAACAGAAATAGCATATTTTTGATAACACTGCAGATTTTACTGTCACTTGCAACGCTCAGCTGAAAAGGTTTCAAACTTGTTGATAGCTTAGCGATATCAGCACTTCAATTGATTCCAAACCTCAGTGGATAGTGCAAATGCGGACTCCTGCTTAAATTTGTGAACAGACAGCGATGGGCGAACATATTCATATTTCCCACTGCTTGTCGTACGTGGTTTGACCATAGCAGACTTCCATTCTTCCGAAACGAGCATTGCCCTGAAAGACACTTCAACGTAGACACCAGAAAATCTCTACTCTGTCCTTAACCTATTTCAAATGCGCATTTCAGAAGCTGCTTAGGTATGAGTAACTATTAAGGAAGCCCTCTAAAGAAATCACATAAAAATGGACAGGAAAAGTCACCAGTGTGTGTACCCCGAGATGATCCTTGCTAAAAAATTCAAAGAAATAGCTTCAGCACTTCAATACACGCTGTGGAAAATTTGTATGGGGTACGACATCGTCCTCACCTCAAAGTGGGGCAGTATTACACGTGGGTCCTTTGACCCAGTTTGTATTTATAACAAACAAGCAGACCGTCGTAGGTGAGGCGACCCCTAGCGAGGGGGGGGGCTGTATTTAGCTGCTCGGAGAGGGCAGTCGTATTTGGTCCGAGAATTTTTCTGATAGTTGACTTTTCTCGTTACAGGACGACATGAAGGGGAGCGGTCGTATCTGCTTGTTGTTGGGAAGGGGAGATCGTATTTGCCTCTCAGAGAAATTTGCGGCGTTGAGAAAAACTTTTTCCCAGTTGTTGACCTTTCGCGGTTCCTCCCCCCCCCACAGCAAAACTTTGTGGGGAAAACTAAAAAATGCTCGGGAAATTCTAGAAAAGAACCGGTGTGAAGTTGGGAAAGTCTAGGGGAAAAAGGTAGAAGGGGGAATTGGGGGAGGGGTCGTATCATCCAAAAGTTTTCCCCATCGGCAGGACGTCCCCTGATAACAAAGCCTTGCATACGTCTAACTGATTGTATTCGGTATGTAACCAGCAAATAGGTATTAACCTGTCGATGTATTGGTCCAGGTGCAGCTGATGGTTCTGGTAGGACATACGTTCAAACTTCCCACATGGACGAGGAGGACGTTAAACTAGCGCTTTGCTTTTCTAACATAGAGAAAAACAGAAAAAGAAAAGTCATTGACAAACTACCAAATGTAACAGTAACAATAGGCAACATACTTCTGCAATCTTTGCTTACGGAGGCATTCAGGGTCATCACTGCTTCTACGGTCACCTTCATCTAAATCCTCAGTTATGACACCAGATTCCGGCCTAAAATCAACAAGAGATTCGACGCCAATAGCCATTACTGCTACTTCTACCATTAATACTAGGTCAGGGACTTCAAATGCAACCAATTTCGAGAATGCACTGAAATTTCGTCGGAAAAAGCATCACAGATTAAAGATATTGGCAAAACACTAGGTGGTTAGTGATAGACCGGCACTTTTGATAGAAAAACTAGGATTCCAAAAAGCTGCAATGAACACAAATGAAACTTCCTCCGCAAATAATGAATGCTCCTAGAAACCAATCATAACAATGATATTAATAAAAAGGCTGCAGTAGAGGAAAATGTGTATGAAATATGGATGAATACCCTGAGAAATTGCTTTTGTTTAGATTGTGACACAAACAAAGCTTCTACCGTCACGGTAACTTAGATAAGTTCGGCTGTTACACTCTATGTTCGTTGCGGATGAAGGGGCGTGGTGAAGCCGAGATGCATTTGACGCGGCACCAAATCCGTTTTTCACTTCATTTTGAGCGAGTATGGGACAACAGTGGTAGGAAACGAGTGATACGAACGATATGATACAATCTTGTCGCTTGCTCGCTTCAGTAACTGATGAGCGGTTTTGACACCGCGCCAAATTTAATCCGCTTGACACGCCCCTTAGCCCTCAGCGAACTATACCGAATAATGACTGAAACACTGCTTGCCTAATACAACCTCTCGAAAGTTGCGAGCGAACAATTATTGTGACAAACTCGCTTCGACACGAGTCGCGAAATTGCAGGGTCACAGTTCCCTGGGAGTAGAAAATCGATGAAAATCTTAAACTAGAACTGCCCGATGCAGCGGATCCCCTGGAATTGAGCTCATACTTCGCGATCGTCGCTTTGCACGGCGCATCCAGCGACTAGCTGAAAGTATGAACAAATCTGCGCGATGCCAGTGGAAGAGTGCGAGCAACGCATAAAGCTGTATAACAGCAATTAAGGTTAGAGTGGGTTCATACTTTGCGTCATTTCCACCGACGTTTCGAGCGCACGCCAGCGACTATGGAAGCATGGATATCGGTATAGCGAAGCTTTATACCAACCATCCACTGGAGTCTCGAGGGACAAGGGAAATATAGGTATCGATCTAGCGAACGCCAGCGTCCAGCACCTATAACAGCGTTTTCGCGGGCACTGCTTAAACCCAAGAAAAACTGCCCGCAAAAGCGGCCGCTTACGCTGCTGCGCTGTATTTCGCTAGCGTTCGCGTTAATCGATTATCTATCGGCTTTCCTAAATTGCTGCGCTTACTCCTTCAAAACTTAGAGTACGCTAGGTTGTATTCTCCTCGGTACTCAAGCGCTTGCCGTGCGCTCGGAACTATTGACGAGGAAGTGAACGCCAGGCATTACTAGACTTTCAGGGCAACGGCGTAGAACAATATGCAGGCCTTTTGAAGGCAGCGGTTTCTTCACCAATAACGACAAATCTATGCGTCGCTGCAGTGAGAAATAGGATACCGCATATAAGATTGGAAATGCAGAAATGGCATATCTAACTGTTTTGTATTAACACAACATGAAACGAACAATAATAACGGGATATTTCCAATCATTCCATACAAAAGTACTAGTATAATAGAAATAAGAAGAAATTTTACGCCGTTTCGTCAGCTCAACGTAGCACAAGCGTTCCTCGTGAACGTTGGCGGGCATTGGCGGCATCCCGAATGAGCCTTTCTTGAAAACGAAGCGCAAAAACGTGTCAGGCGTTGTACAGATATTCTTTAACGTTAATTTTTATATCTCCTTAATGCATTTACAAGGGAAGGTCTTTCAGGTCCGTGACGCGCTTCTGGAAATGGTTAGTTGGCTTGCCTGTATGGAGGCCCATATCAAGGATCTTGATAAATGGGTTCAATTTTGCTATGCGTTTCCGAGGAGGTCGAAAAATGAGTGAAAAGCATTTGACAAGAGTGGGCGATTTCAACTATCTTAATGGGCTCCGTTCTGATTGTAATTTCGCGCATGCATAGTTTACGAGGTGGCTTCTATTAGGGGCCTTTGAAATAGTATTCGGTCAATAGTAAAAATATAAGTATTCGTGTAGTAACGCACGCTGGCTATGTACGAGGCAACAGTGAACGTTTTTGTGCAGCGGTTCCCTCAAGTTGGTCACTGTCGACACATGTGATGGCGCAGCGATAACTCGATGAATTTTTGATGGGATGAGGGTACGGGACTTTGTGGATCGGATCCTCCTTGTTTCAAATCTTTGTGGCAAACAGGCTTCTCCACACAACCGAGTTGGTTTGCAAGGTATCAGAATGAAGAATATGCCTTTCAATGGCATTTCATATTCATTTAAATTGACTCATTTCCACTGCTAGACATACAGGAACGCGAATGAATAGAAAGCTGAGAAATGCAAAAGATTTGCCATTCAGGATCTGTCGAGTTATCCGCTGCGCAAATCCGACCCGCCGACAGTGACCATGAGGGGAACGCTGACAAAATACATCACTGTTGTGTCGGTGCATGCCAAGTGTGTTACTACATGATACTTACACTTTAACTTCATGTTGAAAACTATTTCTAATGCATGGCTCGAAGTGACAATCAGACGGAGCCCATTAAAATAATTAGAACGGCCCATTCTTGTCAATTCTTTTCACCCAGTTATATCGATTCCCCAGAAACGCACTCGACAAGCATAGCAAAAATGAAACCCATTCTTGAGATCCTTGCATGGATCCCTACAACAAGCAACAAACCATTTCCAAAAAGCGCGCCACGACCTGAAAGAATCTCCCTTAGAGTCGTTCTTTTGCACTTTTACAGCTCGGGGGGGGGGGGTGGAAGCGAAAAACATGTATTGTATTTACCCTTTGCTGCCCCAATATTCCAAAAACGGGCCACTTTTTGACCGAATTTTTTCTGCCTCGGCAGAATCGGCTGAAAATTCGTACTCTGGGGTAGTTTGACTTCCTGCACACGAATATGACATCCGCTCGGCCCAATACCTCATGGCGCCCGCGCCAAAATACATTGGAACACCAAATTCGCTGAAAACTTGTTCTCAGGGGTAGTCTGACATCATGAACATGAAATATCACATCCGCTCAGCCTGATACCTCGCGTGCGCCCGCGCCGACAGGCGCTGGCGCAAATAGCCCGGATTACCGTGGCCGTGGAGGCGGCCGCCAGGAAGTTCCGGGCTGAGCGATGTCATGATTCTCTATTCGGGAGGTCAAAAATATCGCCTGGAGGCAGCAATTTGAGCCAAATCTGTCCACGGATAAAAAGGTCGGTCAGAATCTGGCTCGATTCTGGATGGTTGGGGCAGTAAAGGGTAAATAGTGCCAAAAACTTTGCTAGTTCGGTGCCTATCGAGTTTTTTCGCCCCACAAATCTCGACATACCCCTTTTTACCACGACCGTCATTTCTGCAAAAATGTTTTAGGTAACCCTTTGTAAGAGATTGGCCGTCGTTAAGGCGGCCCATGTAGACTGACGTAATGGCCATCGAGCTAGTGTAGGTCACAGCTCAACATTCATCACCATTCTGCTCACCATCAGAGAACTTCTCTAATCAAGTTTTTTATCGCATGATGAGTGGTTTTTTTTCACCGTATTCTGGAACGGTGAGAACGAAAACTTCAAGTTCCCTTTAAAAAACCTCACATTTCGTGAAAAAGAGAGATTTCTACTCGGTTCAAGTTTTTTAGTACGCAATGCGGCATGGATAAGTCCGAAGTAGTTAGAAATGAAACCAGTGATGTATTGTGGACCCGTTGATTAACCAGTAAACCTCAGTTCAGTGAACTACTTTACATGGCATGCATGTGCAGTCATATGTTGGCCTGTCCACGACTTTCTACGATTTATTTCGTAAGGCCATCATGTTATAAAGTAGGCAGAAAACTCGTTTCTCTGAGATTGGAAACAGAGTCTTAATAAGATACGCAGAAAAAAAAGAGATGAACTACTAACTGGAATAAAAAATATTGAACGGGTGCGGAAGTACTCGCAGTGCGGCGGTCCGCATTGTATCTGACTAAAAGGTCATCTTACAACCCACCAGCTCTTCGTGAAAATTCCACATACATGAACTAGGAACGCCACTCAACAATTTATCATCATAAGAGTGCTCCTCACGGACCATTGTAAAGCGAGTTTATCTGCACTGCATCAATTTTGTACCTATCAACATCACTGATCGATAACTTAACCTCTGCCGGTCTTTCTGGCTTCCTGTGGTATATGCCTTCCATTTGAAAACTTGTCCTGACCACTTGGGAACAGAAAAGAAAAAGAGACGAAGGAAACTCGTAAGACTTGGTTCTGTCTCAGCGTTACAGGATGGCTACCACAGAAAGGCCCACGAGACCGCAGGTGACACGATGGGCCAACACGTTTTCAAAATATTTTAGAGCGAACGGGACCTCACAAAGGATACAAGTTTTCAGATATCGCGCGATATGGGGAGCTGTGGTTCTTAGTGAAAATCCCCACAGCTGAAGGACCATGAAAGTACCCAGCTGAGTAAGTAATAGTTTCCCTTCGCTTTTTTTCATATCGCGGCCATATTTGCTAGGCATAAAACTGGCTTAGTTTGAATGATACCAAAGCGGTAGAGGTCCAGTATAAAACTGATAAAGTCAACTATCAACTAGAAAACTTGTGGGTACTAAGTAAATGAAAACATATAAAAACCCGTTATTTTCGGCGACGTGTCCGTTAGAACTCGATTTCGCAGTTGCCATCATGGGCGGTTCCAGTTCATTTACCACAGGCATTGGCTGCTATCTGAAATGCACGAAAATGGCTACAACTACGACAAGCAAAAATACCGCCAAAATTAACGACAATAGCCAAGGAGAGTGAAAATACGGAAACTGTAGTACAAGGAATCTAAACTAAGATCGGAAAATGCTCTAATAGCACCTTTCCGTGGCTTCCTAGTTCAGTGGTACTTATGTTTTCTCACTTAGCGGCTCTGATCGTCTACGGTCTAAACCTAGCTTTTGGTATAGGAAGGAACACAGAAGTGCTATGCAAGGGAGAGCGCTTCGCAGGAATGC